CGTTTTCTATCTTTTTGTTGAATGAGTTTTTGGCCATCCCCAATTTTTATTCGGTTGTTTGTTCATTGTTGTAATGTGTATTGGGCCTTCCCTCATCCAATAAAATATTTGTTGTTTTTGAAATATAGGGATTTTTTAACTTTAATCCTTCAAGTAGATTGAAATTTAAAATAAATTTGATGTTAGATTACATATTGATTATAATTCCTTGATGTGTCCTTAATTCAAAATAATTAATGTGCATTTTATTTAACGTCTCCTATTAATATTTAAGGTAAATCTCTATTTACTATCCTCATGTTTCGTGGTTTTCAACATTTAGTACATCAAATTTTTTTCGTCTCAGAGTCATACCTAAAGTGTAAATTTTGAGACAGTCTCATACATCTGTTAGTCAAACTGTTAAGTCTCCCATTAACTGTGACACGGCGCCCATGTGGACAATGATTGGGTGCTATGTGTCATCCACATGGAAATTAAAAATAAATTATTTATAAAATAAATATAATAAAAAAATAAAAAAAAAAAATCCTTTATCTTCCCCAAATCCCACTCATGCCCACCCTTCCATCACCCACCTCCCCCTCTCAACATTTTTTTCTCTTGCACCACTCATCCCATCGCTCCCGCGAAATCGACTGCGACACCCCCAACCAACCCCACTCAGCTCCCTTTGCGATACCCTTAACGACGCCGATGGATCCTCTTTGACGGCTTCGGTTCAAATCGGGTCTGTGGGGAGGGGGTGGGGAGGGAGACAAATAGGTGGGTGATTGGAGGGTGGGCACAGGTGGGGTTTGGTGAAGATGAAGTTTTTTTTTTTTTTGTCCTTCTTCTTCTTCCTCTTCCTTTTTGGGTTGCAGGGGGTGGGGAAGGGGAGGGGGGAGACAAGTAGGTGGGTGATGGGAGGGTGGGCACGGGTGGGATTTGGGAAAGATGAAGGTTTTTTTTTTTTTTTTTTTTTCCTTCTTCTTCTTCCGTTCTGGGTTGCAGGGGGTGAGGGGGTGGGGAAGGGAGGGGGAGTCGAACAGGTGGGTGATGGGAGGGTGGGCACGGGTGGGATTTGGGAAAGATGAAGGTTTTTTTTTTCTTCCCTTCTTCTTCTTTTTCCTCCTTTTGGGTTGTAGGGGTGGGGAAAAAAAGGGGGGGGGGGGGTGTGACGAACAAGTGAGTGATGAAGGTTTTTTTTTTTTTTTTTTTTTTTCCTTCCTTCTTCTTCTTCCTCATCCTTCTGGGTTGCAGGGGGTGAGGAAAGGGGGGTGACGAATAGGTGAGTGATGAAGTTTTTTTTTTCTTTTTTCCTTCCTTCTTCTTCTTCTTCCTTCTGGGTTGCAGGGGGTGGGGCAAGGGAGGGGGGAGGACGAACAGGTGAGTGATGAAGGTTTTTTATTTTAATTTTATTATATTTATTTATTTTATAAATAATTTATTTTTAATTTTCACATGGATGACACACGGCGCCTATTCATTGTCCACATGGGTGCCACGTTACAGTTAATGGGAGACTTAATAGTTTGATTAACGGATGTATGAGACTGTTCCAAAATTTACACTTTAGGTATGAATCTAGGACGAAAAAAACTTGATGTACTAAATGTTGAAAACCACGAAACATGAGAGTAGTAAACAAAGATGTACCCAATATTTAAATTTATTAATATACAAATTTAATTTATTTTTTGACCAAAAAAGAGTTTTTTAATTTATTAATTTTATTTAACATTCTTCAAACTTGAAAGACTCAATTAATGTACCTAAATGCGTGTATAGAAATGTATTATATTGAACTAATGTATTTAAATGTTAGTACTGAAATACATGCACCGAAATGTATTATATTAAATTAATGTACCTAAATGTGTGTATCAAAATGTATGAACCGAAATGTATTATATTGAATTAATGTATCTAAATGTTTGTATCGAAATATATGTACCAAAATGTGTGTACCTAAATCTATGCATTGAAATGTATTATAATGACTTTATTGTACCTAAATGAAGAAGACAAAGTACATCGAAATATATTGTATAAAAAAATTAGTTTATTTAAATGTTTACAACAAAATATATTACAATAAATGAAATGAAAATGAAAATTAGGAAGAAAAAGAGAAATAATTAAAAAATCAAAATGTAATTAATAAATGAGGTTATTAATGTATCAAGGGACTAAAATTAGATTTTGATCTTATTCATGATTTTACTCTAAAAGTCATCTATACCAAGAATTAAAATGAAATTTTCTACAAAAAGGGTAACTTTTGCAACCTTCGGTTAATGAATTATTTTAAATTTAATCTCAGGTGCTTAACGATGAGACATTTGCTATTCTAGTCCTCATGGCACTCTTCACCACCTTTATAACAAGTCCACTAGTGATGGCCATTTACAAGCCTGCACGTGGCATCTCAGCTCGCACTCATCGCAAGCTCCGTGATCTGTCAACCACTGTATCCTTCAAGGACGAACTTCGAGTACTGGCGTGTGTGCATGGGCCTGCCAATGTGCCCTCACTCATTAGCCTCATTGAGTCCATCCGAAGTGCCAAGAAAGCGCAACTCAAACTCTTCCTCATGCACCTTGTGGAGCTCACTGAGCGATCTTCTTCCATCATCATGGTCCAACGGGCTCGAAAGAACGGCTTTCCCTTCTTTAATAGATTCGGCCGAGGAGCCTGGAGCGACGGCGTTGTTTCCGCCTTCCACTCCTACAGCCAACTGGGGCGAGTCTCGGTCCGACCCACAACTGCAATATCACCCATGTCCACAATGTACGAGGATGTTTGCCATACGGCGGAAGACCAGATGGTTGCGATGATCATCTTGCCATTCCACAAACAATGGAGGCGTGACGGCGATAATCATGAAGTGACGGAGATTGTGAGCCAGGCCTGGCGAGGGGTCAACCAGAGGGTGCTTCAAACTGCACCGTGCTCAGTTGCAGTGCTCGTGGATCGTGGATTTGGTAACACCGGAACCCAGCGGATTTGCATTGTGTTTTTTGGTGGGCCCGATGATCGGGAGGCCTTGGAGTTAGGCGGTAGGATGGCCGAACACCCGACAGTTAAAGTGACGGTTGTGAAATTTGTTGAGAAAGAGGGTTTGGAGAGTAATGGTCTCATGTTAAAGCCTTCTCCCTCCGAGTCTACCGAGAATAGCTATAGTTTCTCCACAGCTAAAATGGACCGAAAGAAAGAAAAGGTATGCATATTGCATGATGTTCCAACAATTTGAAAATATTTTACCTCTCGTCAGTTCAATACCCTTTCTACGACGTGACGTGTGAGATTGTAGTCTGAGCTCTGAGGGGTATCAAACAGTTGCAGAGGTCTATTTGAATCCTAGTCCATTTGATTATTCACAATAATTCACCCTTGTTGCATGGGTGTGATACCCTAAAAAATCAGTCAAATCAACACAAGTCCGTACAATTTACAAGACTGGGAGCACACAGCACACAAATATAGTATGTTATACTATTTAAGTATGTATTAATCATTTGTATATTTTTCTAATCAGGAACTGGATGAGGACGCAGTGGCTGAGTTCAGAAGCAAGTGGGATGGGAAAGTAGAGTGCGTAGAGAAGGTGGCCAATAATATTGTGGAGGGGGTTTTGGCAATGGGAAGTAGTGGAGATCATGATCTGTTAATTGTAGGCAAAGGACGATTCCCGTCACGCATGGTAGCAGAACTGGCCGACCGCCATGCAGAGCATGCAGAGTTAGGCCCCATTGGAGACATATTGGCTTCATCAGGCCATGATGTGGTCTCATCAGTGCTTGTGATTCAACAACATGACGTAGCTCATTCCGTGGAGGCTCCGGTGTTAAAGGTAGTGCATGCTGATTACGAAAGGTTCGTCGCAGATGAGTCCTCCAGTACTGTGCTTGAGATATCTAAGGAATCTGTGTGACCTAATTCACTAATTAACAAGTACAAATAAGTGGTTACAAGTTTCCTTTTCTTTTTTTTTTTTCGGTCGAATAAGTTTCCTTTTGAATGAGAGTGGGTTTCCTGAGATTTGTAGCTCAAGAAAACTATCTTACGAGGATTTCTTCATTCTCTGAATTCATCGGCAGAGCCACATAGTTAAGAATCAGTGTATGAAATTATACAAAGCTACTTTGTTATTCTCTTCGAACATGAGCAGGGTCGGTCCATAGATTTTTAAAATCTCAATTAATTTAGTGCATATTTCAAGCTCTGAATTTTTTTACTAAAAGAAATACAAAAAGATATAAATAGTTCATAAAATTGAAAATACTGCAGCATACTATAAATGAAGCAACAGTAGTAATTATAGTTTATAAACTAATGAAACGGGTAAGTTTTAATTAAAATGACAAAAATGTGTTGTAAATGAATAGTACCAGGAGTGACTTTTTAGAGTAAAAATGTCATTTTCGTTAAAAGTGAACAGTATCGGGAGTGTTTCATTAAAACTCCCTTATAAAATTGGCATTTTGGGCAAAAAATAAAGCAACAACAGTTATTATAGTTCATAAAATTGAAAATACAGCGTTATACTATAAATAAGCAAAAAAAAAATTTAATTCAGATGTTAATATTGAGTAATTTGTAGGAAATTTTTATTTGATTATTTAGTAAAGTATATATCCGTTATAATAATTAAGGTGTTGTGACACAACTTGTTAAAATAATGGATTTGACATGAATACGACAAACACGGACCATTTGCCCGATCTAATTCACGTATGCCTTACAAAAGTTGATGCAAACCATTCGAAAACATCTAGTTAAAGTACCGTGATACCTCCAGAGAAAATAAAACTTTCTGTATCCCTTGCCTATTTGCAAATCATATTCGTTGCGAATAATTTCAATTGAAACGTGCTCAATTCCATTGCCCCACAGATCACATTCCCTTGCCTATTTGCAGATCATATTCCCTCCTTTTATTTTTGGGGCACCACCACTACCGGAGGGTTCTTGCATTCCCTCTTTTTGGATTAACTCAATAAACAAACAAATCTGGATAAACTAGTGGGAGAACCAATTGTCATTTTTCTCATTGGAGCCAATTTTATTTATATTTAGTGATCAGGTGGTGGGTTTGACTTAAGACCACTTACTACTTTCTTATATCTCTATAAAATCATAGCTGCTCATTTCAGTTCACTTCACTTCAACATTGTCTCACATTGCCACCACCAAAATGGCACTCAATTTTACCAACATGAGAACTTCATCTGATGGAGCTTGGCAAGGTGATAATCCTCTTCACCATGCCTTCCCATTATTAATAGTTCAAACCCTTCTCATCCTCTTCGTTAGCCGCTTCCTCGCCTTCCTTCTCAAGCCACTCCGCCAACCTAAAGTCATTGCTGAGATATTAGTACGTTCATATCCTCGATCCATTGGTTGTCGTGCACCAATCTGTGTTTATGTCTAAAACTACGTCATTTGTATATAACTGAGATGAGTGTGCGCTATACTTTCAATTTGTTTGTGTATTTCAGGGTGGGATTTTGTTGGGACCATCCGCACTTGGCAGGAATAAAGATTTCTTGGAGATCTTATTCCCTTCATGGAGCACTCCCATACTAGAATCCGTTGCAAGCATTGGCCTTCTCTTTTACCTATTTCTCGTCGGCCTCGAGCTTGATCTGATCTCCATTCGCCGCAGTGGCAGAAGAGCCATCAGCATAGCACTCGCAGGCATGGTTTAACTTTTTCAATATTTTCTCGTCTTACACACCCATATTTAATCATGTCAACTGTTTTCGTTTGATTTATTCATTTTGATGACCATAAATAAAGAAAAATGTGTGAGAAGTTAAAAAAAGTGTGTAAAACTAACACCAATATTTAGTACTTTGATCTCAGGCATTTCCCTCCCTTTCTTCTTCGGAGTTGGTCTCGCATTCTTTACCCGAAAAGTCATCCACGGAGAGAACAAGGTCGGTTACCCTCAGCTTCTCGTGTTCACAGGGGTAGCCCTCTCCATCACCGCTTTCCCTGTCCTCGCTCGCATCTTAGCGGAGCTCAAACTTCTCACAACTCGTGTCGGTGAAACTGCGATGGCAGCAGCAGCCTTCAACGATATAGCTGCATGGATCCTGCTGGCATTGGCGGTGGCCTTAGCCGGCGGGAGCCACAAAAGCCCCTTAGTGTCCATTTGGGTTCTCATTTCCGGCGTTGGTTTTGTTGTTTTTCAGCTAACTTTGGTCCGACCTTTCATGAACTGGGTTGCCAAACGGTGCTCATCCGATCATGACCTAGTGGATGAGGCTTACATCTGCTTAACCCTAGCCGGGGTACTGTTATCCGGGTTTATGACAGACATGATCGGCATCCATGCCATATTCGGCGCTTTTGTTTTCGGGTTAACGATTCCAAAGGGGGGAGAGTTTGCAGCCAGACTGACCAAAAGGATAGAGGATTTTGTGTCTGGCTTGCTTCTTCCTCTATATTTTGCTTCAAGTGGTTTAAAAACTGATGTTGCTAAAATTCAAGGGCTCAGGGCATGGGGGTTGGTGGCTTTGGTCATATCTGTGTCCTGCACTGGCAAGATTTTGGGTACTTTTCTGGTGGCCATGTTGTTTATGATACCAGTAAGAGAGTCATTAGCACTGGGAGTCCTCATGAATACTAAAGGCTTGGTGGAGCTCATTGTTCTCAACATTGGGAAGGAAAAAAAGGTAATTTTGAGTGCGATTGTAACACCGTTACGTGATATTATTAATCTACAATTTATAACATCATCTCTATAAACATCCTTTTGAGTTGGATGCCATTTAGTAATTAACAATATCCAAATCACAAGAATTCTTCTAGAAATAATCTTTAGATAATTGATAAAAATATTAAATTATTCTAATTATAATATTTGTACAGTAAAATGATGTTCCGATTACTAGGAAGAAAGACTCTCCTCTTTAGAAAAAAAAAGTCTTATCCTTTCGTACGGATTTCAGGCGTTTTAATAGAAATGGAGTATTGGTGCACAGAATCTATACCAACCCACTATATATGATATAAGAAGATCCACTTCCTAAGTGTGATTAACTGTTTAATGAAAACTCCACTTTAGTGGATTAACTTTTGGTTTTGCTTTGCAGATTCTAAACGATGAGATGTTTGCTATTTTGACCCTGATGGCAGTTTTTACCACCTTCATGACAACTCCAGCAGTGATGGCCATTTACAAACCCTCATGGGATGTCATTGCTTCTCAAACTCCCCGTCTCTTACAGGGACAACATTCTCCGACCAAACCCGCCCACAGACGAAAGGACCTTCGAATCCTTGCTTGCGTTCATGGACCTGGAAGTGTACCTTCCCTCATCAACCTCATCGAGTCAGTCGCACCTGCCTCACAACACTCATCGCTGCTCAAAGTTTACGTGATGCATCTTGTTGAGCTCACTGACCGTTCATCATCCATTATGATGGTACATCGAGCTCGGAAAAATGGTTTTCCCTTCATCAGCCGCTTATGTCGAGGGGTCTCACAGGACCAAATCCCTGCGGCGTTTGAGGCCTATGGTCAAGTCGGTCAAGTCACCATCCGCCACACAACAGCCATCTCTGCGTTGTCCACAATGCAAGAGGATATTCTCCATGTTGCAGAGGCGAAGACGGTTTCCCTCGTCATCTTGCCTTTTAACAAACAATGGAGAAGAGAGGAAGAGAAGGAAATGGAGGATCTGGGGGATGACTGGAAAAGGGTCAATCAGAGGGTCTTAAGCACTGCAAATTGCTCAGTGGCATTGTTCGTGGATCGTGGATTTGGCAGCAGACGTGAGAGGGGTGCCGCCACTCCCAAGAGGGTGTGCGTTTTGTTCTTGGGTGGACCTGACGACCGCGAGGCTCTGGAATTTGGTGGAAGATTGGCACATTCAAGCGTTATTTTAACAGTTGTAAAATGCATTATGGACAGCTTGGAGCAAAATCATGAGAAGGAACTAGATGAGGCAGCAGTTGCAGAGTTGAGGAGGTGTAATGAATCAGTGGAATACATAGAGAAGGTGGTGACAGGCGGCATTGCGGGGACAGCGGTGAGTATAGGGCTGAGTGGGGAATACGACCTCGTTATCGTGGGGAAGGAGCAGCAGAATTCTGAATTGGCTGGCCATCAGCTGGAGCATGCTGAACTGGGACAAATTGGAGACATATTAGCATCATCACCTGGGATTTCGTCCTCTGTTCTTGTGATACAAACACCAAGAACCGGCACATGAAGGATGCTGTTGTACTGTGTAAAAAGCAGTCGGACGACGGTGGGATTCAACGACCAAAAACGATGAATCAGCTATTTGGAAATAATAATCTGGGTTCTAGGGTGTTTTACTGTCGCTATGTAATTTAGTTTGTGATTAGCCACGAATAAGTAGGGTTTGGCGTAAATTCATGCGATAAGTAGTGTTCGAGTTAAATGGTTAAATAAGCGGTAGAACAGAACGAACAGAATCGAGCAGTGTGGGGATCAGCATGGTGCTTTTCATAGTGGTAAATTACTCGTGTAAACCAGACATTTATGGAGTGTGAGAATTTTACCCGACCAATAATTTAACCTGAAAAAATATTGTTCAGATGATTGCTATGACTGATATTTCAAAAGGCGAGCACATATCAGAACACGAAAGAAGGATAACAAACAAAAACAGATGCAAATCAAATGGAAATTTTCATTCCTCAAATCTCACAAACAAATTTGAACCTCATTTGAATCGGGCAAATAACCCTCCTCGTTGATAGTTGTACATATATAAACAACTTTTGGAAAACGACGAAAATCCCAAATAAGTTACATAAAAATCTTTTCAAGATGAAAGAAAAAGAGAAGAAAATTTTTCTGCAAATAAACTAACCTCAACAAGTGTCTTTTCCATGGAATTGGATCTAAATTCCAATATATCACCAATCAATCAGTCAGCACCAGCTGCTAACAATTTCCGCCTCCATCAAATTCCATATCCATCAGCCAGGTCCTAGGTATCACCCTTGGCATCCATCCGTTTGAGTTCTAATTTGTGTCCGACATGAGTCAACCAGTATTTGCTAAGACCACGTGAGATTCCTACTTGGATGATATACACAACGCAAAACAGGTATAAGAACTCCGAACTAAATTGGTACCTATCTCAGCCAAATTCAATTCAAGACACAAATAACACGCACCTTCTTATACTGGTGGAACATGGTAAAAAGGTAAGATATGGAAAAGGTTATAGTCTTATAGATAACCAAAAAATAAGTTCCCCGTATTACACTAACCTTAGTTAAAGCCTCCCCCAGTCCACGCTGAGTCAGATTTCCCATTGTGAATAGATGCACTCCGGTAAGCATTATCACATCCATCATCTTTGCCATCATCCCATCCAGCCCAACCATCATTGCTGTTGGATCCCGTTCCTTTAGTAGTCTCTTGCTTCCTTGTGTCTTTTTGGTCCCAATCATCCCAAGAACTAGAGCCGTAAGAATTAAGATTCCCACTTGATGATTGCCCCCCTACGGAAGAAGAATTCCATTCTTTGTTCTCCTGTTTAAACTCTTGATAGTATCCATTCTGCTCACTACCATTTCGTTGCCAGTTATTCTCAGCTTTCCCGTTTGTTCCGTCTTTAGTGTACTCTTCAACTTTCTGTGATGCTAATGCCATGACCCCTTTCATAATCCCCCAAGTCCTTTGTCCAATCTCTGAAGTCTTTGCAGTGACAACATTAACAGTTTCATTCACATTGTAATCATAGCCGCCTTCTTTCACCTGTTATAAAAGTTTGATCATACAACTTCATTGTCAAATTTCAGAAATTTAGCTAACCTTTAGGTCTATATAAATTATTACCAGTGATTGAAGAAATATAGCTTTCAGTCTATCTGTCTATTGTAAAATAAGGGTCAATATTAATCTATGCGAAAATGTTGTATATCACATAACACAAATGCAACTAGAACAATTTCATGGAAACTTTGATAAAACATGTCTGGAACGGAGCTTTTAAGTGATGTTTAGTGGTCGCTTGACCAATTACAATAGAAATAGGGATGGCCAATGGGAATCCATTTCGGCACTGTGAGTGTTGGCTATGTGTTAATTGGGGTGATGAACGGTGATGAGTGTGGTAGTGGTGGCGGCGGTGATGGTGATAAGTTAAGCTAGAGTTTCCTAACTCAAAAGTGATGATTGCACAAATTATATCACAGTTAAACAGCATCGCCCCAAATGTCAGGGGCCAAAACGGTCAGAAACCAAGAATACCAGTAAAAGCACACATTACAGTCAAGAATCATGAAGTTGTACAATATTGAATGTGAGAATTTTGAAAAGGAAAAAACACAACTAATAGAACAAAGGGTGCCAAACACATACCACCATAGCCAAAAGAAACACAGTACGCATACAAAGTGATGCCATTGACGGCATTCAAGGGAAGTACTAAACATGCTGTGCGGTACATGGCATTTCAATAATTTCCAAATACAAATGCCTGCCAGTAGCAGAGCGATCGTCTAGCATCTGACAATATTAAGAATGAATAGAGAAATACCTTAGTAGTGATATCTTTAGTGCCTGCCTGTACTACACTTGCAGCCGACTGAGCAGCCGATGCAGCAACCAAAGATAACTTTCCAAAACCCTATTCAAATTAAATAAACGGAAAACTATCAGCATTTCCATCTACAATCACGAATCAACGATAAACATAATAATAAGTAAAAAATAATGCAACCTGAGATACAACAGACAACACATCGCCTTGCGCATTCACATTATGATTCTGCGAAGGGGCGGGGCTCGATCCAAACCCGACATACTTCCCGCCCTGTGAGGGCGGTAGCCCGTCAGGCCGCGAATCATTCTCCGCCATTTTCCTGGCGAAAAAGCTCTCCTTGTTCGCCGCAGAAGCCTCCAATTGTGATCTCGTGATGTCCTCCGTAGACCTCGACTTGGCCGGCATCCCACCTCCATATCCACCAGCACCACTACCACCATGAGCACCACCGCCTCTAAAGTTACCGGTCGACTGATTCCTCCTCAAATCGGTCGACGATCTAAAACCGTCGTCATCCCAACTATCCCACCCACCATTGTTCCCAGAACCACCTCCCCTGCCACTTCCACCGCCGCCGCCTTGGGCCAAAGGCGGCTTCTTTTTCCCAACCCCTATGGTTTCCTGCACAACAGGTGGGTCCCTCCAGGGACGCCCCTCGGCTAGGGCTTGAATCCGATCCCGGTACACGCTGGCAGCGTTGGTATTGTACTTGGTGACGATATCCGTCTCCTTAGGAACGCCGTAGCTGGCTAGGAAGGCGTTGAGCTGCTCGTTGCCGCCGGCCTCCATCTTCTTGATCTGGATCTCGGACCACGAGTCCATTGTCACGGATCGGACGAACGAGATGTGGACGCCGAGCCCGCGGTGCTTGCCGGAGCACTCTAAGCACATGAAGACACCGTAGGACACCGAGGCCCATTGCGGGTTCTTCTGGGAGCAGTCCACGCAGATCTTGTTCCCCGGCTGCGATTGCAGGTCCCGGAGCCGACGAGACGCCGCCATTTTTTCTCTAAGTCCGATCTAATCGGAGTGTACGAAAATGGGATCAAAAAATTGATATGCCCTCTAAATCAGTCCCACGTGATACGCACGTGATTGATTTAGACAGAAGTTTTAACCGAGTTAACATACTTCACGTTTTTAGCGAATCTCACCGACAACGTCACACGTTTTTATAGAAGCCTTAATGAAACACTCTTGTTACAGTTTATTTTTAAGGTTAAAAACATTTTTTTACTTAAAAAATCACTTATGACACGATTTACTTACATTTTTATTTTATTCTTTTTATTAAAATCTAAAAATTTTAGAATTTTTCGTTAGTTTTCATTTTATAATAAAAAGGGAAGATTAAAAACTGACAGACTCCACCGCTCCTGTCTCTGTGTGTGTTACAGTTTGACGCACGCATCTCCATCATATCGCAAGGGTGGCACGTGCGGTGAATTTGTTTTACTTTCTGTTTTATTTATTTATTTATTTTTAATGAATTTGGAAATAACGAATTTTACCAAATTTGTCTTCAACAACAAAATGTTACTGAATTGGTTTTTTGTTTTTGTCGAGTTACCTAATTGGTTGCTTAATGTACTTTGTGTGAGTTCGATTTTTTATTTTTCTTTCTTCTAATCGATGGTGCAAGTGAATGATTAAATCAGACCGCTCTTCAAATAATTCAAAGCAACTATCACTATCTAAAGAAATCACGATGAACAGGTAAAGTTGATTTTCACCTAAGGTAAATCGATGACATAGTCATCATCATTTCATTCAACATTCAATGATTTTGTTGTCGAAATTAATGTAGCATCACATGTGTCTTGTATTTATGATGATATTTTTATTTTTTAGGCAAAAACAAATTTCAACAACTATGATTTCATTTGGAAATTATTACCGAAATTTTGACGAATCGAACAACTTGGTTCGTTATATAATCGCTAACTGAATACCTTTAGTTGGTTTTGTAACTGAATCAGTGCAATCAAAACCAATCCAAATTTTTTTAAGTCGTCAATTTAACTGAACCAAACCATACAGAATATACCAAATACCTTATAAAATGGTGTAATTTTGTTTTTTTTTTTTTTAAATTCTAAAAATTTAGGGGAGGGGAGGCCACCCCCAATGCGATTGATAGGACAGACAACAAACCTCTTTGAGGACTTGCAAAGGAGGTTTTAGCCCTTTTTTTTATTTAACAGATCATCTATTAAGATGGATTACTGATAATGAGACTCAAATTTAGACTTTGGTTTAGTAAAAAGAATAATTCTTATCAACTCAGTTAACTTTCGTTGCCTACAAGACTGAACCAATTGCCTCTCTTGTCATATTGTAATATAATAAAAATATTTAATACGTTTTTTTTTTTTTGTAGGAAAAATATTTTATTCAGAAACTAGTTAATAGTACATATGATAGCACAACAAGCTATCCAAGTACAAAACGAGACATTCAGAAACAAAAGTGATCTTCTAAAACTACGCAATATTCTACGCAATATTGAGAGAAATTTTATGTGACTGCATATAACGTTCTTTACGTTCAAGTGAATTATCATTTTTATCCTATTGTATAATTACTAATTAGTATACAATGTAATTAATAATAAAATTAAAATTTATCAATAAATCTAAACCCAATAATCAAACCATATTATCACATCAAACTCTATCATCATGCAATTTTTATCTTATGTTCATCTAGCTAAAATCATAAGACGCTCTCATAGAGAAAAACAAGTTCTTTATGACCAACAGATGATGTTTTTGAAGTTTTGAATCTTCCAACTTAAGCATAAATTGCTATATGAAAGTTTTTTTTTCGTTGGATTTCAATATTTTAAGGTTTAGTAACAAAAGCAGTGCTTTTTCCAAAGCATAGTTACTAGCAGAAACATATATAATTTTTAATGTTTTAACTTTTTTATTAAGAAAAATCAGCAGACAAATGAGTAATTAGAACATTTATGAGTTGCGAAACACTAATTTTTGGTTTTTATATTTTGGAAGGGTGTAATGATACATTTATACATTGAATTTGGGTTGTGAAGGTAATTTGAGATAATAAATTTGGGTTTGAAGAGAAAGTAATATGGGTATAAAGAATAATTTTAAATGTAAGAAGAGGTTACGAGCTCAAATAATTTTTTTTATATATATCCTTGAAACCCTAGCCACAAAACGCAAACTTTTCCCTCATCCATCCTTGGCAGCAAAACACCTTGTTCAACGTCCTCTCCATCGTAGACCTGCTCAGCATGCCACTACCACCTCAGAGCCCCACCAACTCATATCGATGTGCTCCATCTGCCATATTTACATCTCCGTCGTCAAGGTTATCGGAGAGACTTTCTTTCCAGTCTCTCCATCTTTTGCATCTTTAAGATCATATGGCTAATCTCCCCGATTATTCAAGTGTTTACCAAAGGGAATGAAATGTATGTGGGATCCATTTAATATGGGGAATCAGACTCCTAATATACCCGGATTCAGTCTTCCGAACAATTGATGGGAGTTGAATTCTGGGAGAAAGCCTCTATCCGGAATCCCTTTTTTCTACCCAAAATACCCTTATCTCGTCTCCCTTCCACCACTTTCTCTGCTTCTCTCTTTCTCTGCGGGCAGTGACCAATATCAAAGGAGAAGAAAAATTAGAAGGGAAGAAGAAGATGATGGAGAAAATAGATGGAGAAGCTGAAAAGAATTGGGGAATGGGGTGCGGTGCGGTCTTCACGAGAAAGAAAAAACAATTGGCTGATGGGGAAGAAGAATCATAAGAAAACAAGAAGAAGAATCAGAAGGGAGCAAGAAGAAAAAGGGAAGAATCAGAAGAAGGGGAGGTTGAAAAGAGTTGGGGGATGGCTGAAAAGAACTAGGTGATGGGGTGCAGTTTGGGCTTCAGGAGAAAGAAAAATAATTTAGGGATGAGGATCCGGAGAAAAAATTTGATAAACCGTACAAATTCTTTTTAAATTTTTTTCGTAGTCTTCTGAAAAAAAATTATTTAAATTTTTTTCGTAGTCTTCTAAAAAAAAATTATCAAAAATATAAAAACTATATACTTGGAATATGGGTAATTTAGTAATTACATTAATTTTCATTCCGATTCTTGTATTTAAGTAAACAACTTATATAAGTAAATATAATTTCTACTCTGATACCAAGAAATTTTAGTAAACAGTTTTAACAGGAATTTGATTCTGACTCTACCCCATTTCAATTCCCCCTCAATCCAAGTCCTCATCAATTCAATTCTCCTTATTTTGATTACGGATTAGTAAACGAGCCCTTGTATAACAGAGGACAAGCGACTTTCTAATGGCATTTCAGTGGTTTGAGATGATGAAAGCTCAATTTGCGATGTAAATTTTTATCTTCTATCAGTAATCACACCAACAACTGGGAGTAGGGCAATTTATTCTCTGAGTAAAAGACTTTAATGGGAAAGAAAGGTATGTTCTATATAAGACAGTAGAAAGGCAAAAGATAATGACAGTCAACTTACAACACAAAAAGACTTTAAAGCTTTGTAGCCTACCTTTTATACAAATTCCTTTTGTAGTTCAGCACCTTTATAATTGTATTTATGTAAGCTCGGCTACATTGCATGTAGTATCAATTTCTTGTAAGAAAACTTCATTCCACAACACTTCATCAACTATTAGCAAAAACTTCCAACACTTCATCAACTATTAGCAAAAACTTCCTCGACTAACAAAAAAACTTGCTCGAATAGGTCTAAACTTGCCCGATATGGCGATATCTTATATTTTGTATTTATTTTTTGAGGTATTACTTTGTTGTTGGATATTTAATGAGTATTTAACATCATTTCCTTTATGTCTTTTAATTTTCATATAGACTATAACTTGTCATACATTCCGTGATTACATAAAGAGTTGCAAATTGAGTTGAACCAAGGTCCAATCAATTTGTGGTTATCGTTTGGCATACCTAAAGAACATATTTGACGTCCTTTATAGAACAAAGCATAGAAAATAACTTAACGTATATTTTAACCCAACCATGGCACGGTCTTTTGATTAGAAGTTCAGTTTACTTGTGGTGCAAGTCTACAATCAAATACTAACATCATTCAATCTTTTTGTTGGTATTAATCAATAGTGGCACACCTTACATAAACTAACAACTCATTTAAAAGAGCCTGATGCCTTCTTAAGGTGTTCAAAGACACTTTAAACTGACAAGAGTCACAAACACTCGCATGGGAAATTTGTCACCAACAGAGAGGAGAATAGTATGGTTATATTGGGTTATATGGATTTCTTGACCAAGTTGATGAGCACATTGATGTTATTAGCGCCATTTTGTTAGTTTTAATTTTTTTTAAATTTTTTTACAAATGATAGAATATTCTAAATTAAATTTACGGGTAAATTATATAAAACTACTTCAACTATTGGGTTATTAACAGTTTCATACCTTGTCTTTAAAAAGTTTCAATGCCATACCTTATCTTCGAATTTGTTGCAATGTCATACCTTCCCTCAGTTGTCTGTCAATTCTTCTGTTAAATGCTGACGTGGCTTAAGAAGGAGCCCACTTTATATAAAAAAAAATTATAAAAAAATTAATTAAATATTAACTAATAGTTAAAAAATAAATAAAAAAACCAAAAAAAACCACCCACACCTAGATCCCCCTCCCCCCAAACTTCCCATCGACTCATGTCCCCCCACATGCACCCAAACCTTCCTTCACCATCCCACTGCTGCTTCTCTTCCTCCATCTTCACCACCCAACCGCCACCTTTCTTCCTCCATCTTCCAGATCCCACCCAGCTCACCCTCCATTAACGGTCCCGATCTTCCTCGCCCCCTAACCAAACTATCTCTCTCTCTCTCTCTCCCCTCTTTCCTCTGGTCAAACATTTTCTCATATTTCCCCAAAAATAAATCCCAAATCATGCGACTTGGGCGCGTGAGTGGAAGGAGGGGAATTGCAAGTGCGTGGGGGCAAAGGTGGGGTGGGGTGCGGCAGTGAAGGAGGGAC